ATTTCTATCTTGTTCAAAGAGAAGATATAAAACAAAGTTCTAAGCTAATCAAACTTAGTGTTCTCCTTTTTAAAAAGAATCGATAAAGAATCGAAAATGGAATCGGAATCATGAAAATCTTATCAATACCCATCCCTAGTCGTCACAGTTACAAATACTCAGTTAGACACATTCTATCCATTTTTCATTGTCAGCTCATGAAACAGAAGCAAAAACATACGTACACCAAACTGTCTGACAGTGACATTAAGGGTTCCTTTCCTCTGCACTGAGTCCTTTTGAGTGTTGCCACTATGGATCATCTGCCTCCATCTCACCCCATCTGTAGCATCCTCTTCTGTCACTCTGTAAACCTTCTCTGTGGTCTTCCTCTTTTGCCTGCCAGCTCCATCAAACCATCTCAACCCCCTTGCCTCTCCAGCTTTATCTCCAAACCGCACAACCTGAGCTGCCTCTCTGAATCACTCTTTTCCTGATCCTGTTCATCCTAGTCGCTCCCATTAAAACTCATCTTCAGCTTTACCACCTTTAGCACTGCCTCCTGTCTTTTTGTCAATACTGCTGTCTCCGAACCACACACGAGGTCTCACTAGTCTTATAAAGCTTCCCTTCCACTCTTCTTCCTGCCTTCCTGTCACAAATCACCCGGCTCACCTCCACCTGTTCCACCCCTGCCTACACGCTCTTCTTCTCCTGTGCATTGTCCGTCGCTTGGGATGGTTGACCCCAGGAATTTCAGCTCATCCACCTTCACCACACCCATCTCCTTCTTGCCTCTACCTTCATTCCTCTTTTCTCCAGAGCATACCTCCACCTCTGCACCACCTCCCTACTCCCACTACAAACGAAAATGTTGTCAGCAAATGTGCTCGTCCACAGAGACTCCTGCCTGACCTCATCTGCCAACCTATCCATCACGAGCGCAAACAAAAGCTCTGCAAACAGAACTGATTCCTGATAATCTCCACCTTGAACCATTCTGTCGCTCGTCCTGCACCACCCTCACATACCTCTATACTACTCCTGACTACTGCTACCATATGAGCTTGTCTATACTTTTCCATCAACACTTTCTTAGCATTGAGCCATACTGCTG